TTGGTTTTTTTAGGGTTTTTGGTCGATTTGGGGATAAATAAGGAGAGGAAAAATTGAGTTTCGTTACCGTAGCTAACAGGTGTTAATTAAAATTTAACGGCGTTTACAAACTTCTGTTAGTCGAGTTAACTCCGTTAATGGTGATGTAGTAAAACCAAAACATTTTTAAAGTTTACGTATTGAAAAACCAACATTAAATAATGTGTATCAATCGGATAATCAAAAAAGTTTGGATATTTTCTTGGCCAATTATAATTAAGCTGGAGAATTTTTAAGGAATTTTTCCAATTAATAACCGTTTGATAAACACACCAAACCCTTTAAACCCAACATTCTCGGGAAAACAAGAAAAGTTGCAGAAAGCTCCAACAATGGCGGAATCTTCTTCGACTCTCCTCTCGAAATCTAGAGATCTTCTCGAGACTCCAACCCACGGAAGATTCGAGCTTTTACTCAACCAACTCGCTACTCCACAAGAAGAAACCATAGAATTCCAATCAGCAATTTCTCTTTTCAATTTCTGCGTATCGAAATTCCCAAATTGCTTAACCCTAAAGCTTCTCAAAGTCTATCAATCTTCTTCCGATGACGACTTCAGATTCCAATCAATCCATCTCCTTTCTTCAACCCTCGAAGTATTCCGAAACCGCAAAACCCATCTCTCTCATATCGCGCTCGAAGAAATCAAACCCATCTTGATCTCATGCTTGAAGATGAAGATACAAGAAACCCACATTGAGATCTTACGAAAAATCGTGTCTTTATTAGCTTACGATGTTGTCTCTTTGGATCATAATGGTGGATTGGAGTGGGAAGAGCTTAGTGATTGTATCCTTTCCTTTGTAAAAACCCAACCTTTAATGGCTTTTCATTTGTTCGTCGAATTGCCTCGACTTTATTGGAGATTCATTGAAGGGTTTATGGAGGGAATCGTTGAGGAAGCTGAGAAAGTGTTGGCTAATCTTAAGGAAGATAATGTTGAAGATTGGAGTTTGAGTTTAGAGACTCTTGTTAAGATGAGCATACAGATTTTGGATTCGGATAATGTCGAAGATTGGCGATTGGATATGGTAAAGTGTCTTTTGTTCATTCTTGTCAAGTCAGTGAAAGAGTTAGTGAAGAAAGGAATGGAAGAGTTTGTGCTACAAGGGCTTGAGAATCTTGAGAGGTTCTTGTTTAGAGATAAGGAATTGTACGGTTATAGTAAGGATCAGTGTGTGTTCGTGTCGACTTTCACGTATAAGATTAAAGAACTCGGAACAAAGATCATTGAGGTCGCGGAGAAGATACATCGGTTGGTTACTCCTACCAAGGAGAATGAAGGTTTTGATCGGTTCTGTTTCGAACAATTGAACACTTTATCGTTGTTTGATATCGTGAGAATCTTTGCGTCTGCTGATCAGAGGTTTAAAGATATTGCAATTAGACGGCTAAACCTCTTACTGTCTGATGATGACAATCCGAAGAGAGTGGGAATCGATGTTTCTTTGTTGAGGAAACTCCAGACATTMCTCGTCTCTTGCCTTACGAAAGAAGGGATCTCTGAGAGTATGTTCAGAATCACTGGTGAGGTTGTGTACCAAGTTGCGTATGAGATGATGAGCTTCCAAGATGAGATATGGTTCGGTCTATGGGATTACATTGTATCGAAAAGCAAAACGGAGTTTCAGAGAGCGGTTTACATCTTCCAGTGCTTAAACATGCCGCTTGACGAGGAAGAGTTTGTGATTCCTGTGATGGATAATCTTCTACCAGAGATAAAGGAAAGGTTAAACCCACCAAGTGAGGTATTAGTAGATAACAGTGGATGGGTCTTGGCGTTTACGGGTGCCTTCTGCGGGATTATTCACTTGATAGAGATGGAGGATCACGCTGAATCGGTTAAGGAGATTGCGTATAAGATGGTAGATTCAGTGAGAGAGCTTGTGGAAAAGGAAATGGAAGTTGGACTTGTGAGGAGAGCTTTCAGAGATGTGGAAAACATTTTGAAGAAACATGTGGAATGGTTTGGTACAAGTGAATACAAATTCGTTAAAGGTCTGCTTTGGAGACTTTATGCAATCAAAGGCATGAAAATGGAGAGTAGGATTGTGTTGTGGAGGATTAATGTTCGACTCGTGAGAGGTGTGACTGATCTGTTTAAAGAACTCCTAGAGAGTGAGCATAATTGGCTAGACCAATGGGGAATGATCTAAAAATGTTAGCTTCTTCTACCTCAAGAATCAAGCTTTACTTCCTCTCTGACTTGTGAAACGTTATTGTACATAAGATGACTTTACTTGCTTGTTGCCAATATTATAGATAGAATTTTTTACACTGTTGGTATTATTGGACTTGAATAGACTTGATTTGAGCTTGAAGCATGTATACATATACTTTCTTGTTTCCTTTTATCAACACTCAACTACAAGAACTCAAGATGTGTAATTGTGTGTTGTTATTCTTCTTTTTTGATGTTTTGACATTTCGTTTCTTTGTACAAACTCTACGGTGAAATGAGTAGATTTTGTTTTAACATCAAGAAACTATGATGTGTATTGTTGTTGTTCACCTTTATTAACATTTGAGTTTCATGTCGTTTATCTAAAGTTTTATTCATTTGTTCTTATATTTATTTTACATATTTCTAATTTTTGGAAATTAAATATGTAAAAATTGATGTTTATGATAAGCTTATAATAGTTACTACCCTCAAATGAAATGCAATATAAATGAAATA